TAGACGTTTCCTATTTGACACTGAATTAGCGGTAGCACCGTCGTCTGATATTTCTACAAGTTCTATCGGTTTCTCACATTCTGTGTCAGAGATATCCATTCGATTTTCATTTTCTAAATCAAACAATGACATATCGGGCTGAGACCTAGGGTTTTTGTTCCTAACTATCACAAACTCGTCATTAAGTTCTTGTATTACTTGTTGAGGTCTTTCGTCATTATCGTCAATATTAACCAAAGTCGAGTCGAGGTCATCGTCAAGAGCATTAATTCTTATTCTAGACGATTCATTATTCTTATTCGGTATTGTTGTGGCTATCATAAAAAAATTTCTTATCTGATCATGGTTTGAACTAGTCGGGTTCGATTCACAGTCATATGAACAAGACGGTTGAATATTATCAATATTAGTATAATTAACGCGTCTTGAACTGGCTGTTCTCATCGTAATATCGGTATTGGAGGTCGATGGCATGGGCGATTCTTGGTATTGTAATCCATTGTTCGTAAAATGCCGACGCTGCTGTGACGACGACTGTTTTACTGGTGACCTAAATACCGTGTTATAATTGTTTCGATTATTTAATGTTCTATCATTTCTAAATAGGAAAGAATTATTATTTGAACTATTTTGATAATTGGATGCATTCGAGTTCATTTGGACGTTATGGGTTGGAGAATTAAAATTATTAACTTGTCTCGGATGAGAATTCCTATTATGGAACGAATTAAAATTAATATAATTAGGTCTAAAATTTTGATTGGACCTTGGGTTCTTACTATCATAAACCGTTTGAAAATTTTGTTCTTCCAACACGGTTTTTAAAGCATCTTCCAGCGTGGTAACATTACGTAATCTCACTAATCTTACAAGGTACGCTGGTAAATTAAATAAGAAAACGTTTAATGCCGAATTATTATATATCGCTTGTTTGGCCTGTCTTATTTCGGGGTTGTTAATGGTTTCATTTATTTTGGAGAATAAAATACTCCTTAAATGTTGGACACGATGACAGAAATCTAAATGACTTTCGTTCTTATCCTTTTTTAGGGAATCTAATTCCATAGCCAGACAATCTTCTGACCTTGGATCGCCAAAGTGTTGGCTTAATAATAACTTAAGGTTATCCCAAGTATCTATTTGTTCCCGTTCCCCAACTAGACTTGCGGCTTCCCCGGATAATCGACTAGTAATTACGTGAAACAGATATTCATTTTGTAAATTGCCACCTTGAAATGTCTGTAAAATATATTCGCATTTCTTAATGAATAATGGTAATAATCTAGAATCACCATCAAAAACAGGAATAATTTTTACCATTTCTACAGGTACTCTTACAATATTTTCCATTTTGAATATTAAAAAAAAAAATTACCTATAAAATAATTGTATAAACCTAACTTCTATTAACAATATTTTGATTGTTTAATAAAAATATTTTTCCGGCGTTTTCCAATCCGAAATAAACGTATAACTAATACAAGAGGAAAACAAGGAAAGTCACGGGAAGTGAAAAGTTTTACTCACAGTCCTGTTATCTTGACCATGCTCCTCCGGGATACTGCTAGTTCTTGGCTGCTCTTCCACCGATGCCGTGCTGTCCTTAACTTATTTATTTGTTCGGCGATCTCCGTTAAAACGTTAAAACGTACGTTACCCGGTTGGTACTAGATCACGAAAAAAAACGCGGTATAACTTCTTCCAGGCAACTTATGGAGATCCTACCGGCTGCGCCAGTAAAGGAACGGCAACGGACTTTTGGTTTAAAAATAATTTATTTAAATCAACAGAGTGACAGCACTTAATTAAGAACTAAACAATAATCAACTTAATATCTATTTCTTCATGCATTTATACATTCAGATTTACTTACTAAGTATTGGTCGTTGCTGACGCACGACCTACATTCGGCTTAGTGCTAACAAAGCATATATTAATAGGGTTGGTACTCTTAACTTATGCGCGCCGCGCCAATTGACTCGGCGCGATGGACTTTCGCGCATTCGGAATTCCATCGCGCCGAGCCAATACATTTGGACCGACAGTGTTTTCACATTCATGGACGAATTTTGGATCGACAGCATGCCAAATGAATCGATGGATCACCCGTGAATGGCCGCCATTAGACGTTGTCACGTCAAAAAGAAATATATATATAAATGCTTCTAATTTTACATTTACTGCCAGTTCTCAAATCAAGGGCGTGAAACGGACGAGAGGAACTGTCAATAAACTCTCTGCCACACTTTGTAATCGCCAAGTTTTTTGTTTTACACAATGTTTGTAAGGAGCTGCAACCATTACACCATGTTCCACATGACAACTTAAGTAATTAATAATAATAAAATAAATTAAAAACAAAGATTTGTCCTCTATCACCAGGAGTAATGGTAAATAACTAACATCACCGTATATGCGACACAATCGTGTATGCGAATTCAAGTCCAGTCACCACAAGTAGCACCCGTTCACGAATATGTCACATGGCCAGCCATCGGCCCCCTTGCCACATTTTAGGGAGAGAGACAGCTCGACGCATAGACGCCGCCACAAGCAATCATATTTAAGCGAGAAGAGTGATAAATGAAAAAAAGCAAAGAGATAAATAAAATATAATATTTAAAAAACTGAAGAGTTGAACTGAATAGGAAATAAAGGACCAATGTAAGAGAGAGATCTATAACTTCGTTTGATATTTAGTGATGTGTCTATGTAATATTTTAATCTAAGCTATTAAGTAATCTGTGATTACAAAATACGTATAGTGCTTTTCATGAAAGAAGTCCCGCGGATATTTTTGGAACTAAATTTGACAGGTCGGCAATGTTGTCATTCGTCGATGTTATCAAGTTCGTTTGTTGTGGTAGATTTTTGTGAATTTTTAACTATCTTAGTGCATTTTAAATATTGATTACAATGCCAAAAGTTGTAAAAAGTTCGGCTCGAGAATTGATATTAAAGGTGAAAGAGTTCTGTGAAGCGGAACATAAGAATCAAGGTGTTTTAATACCACTAAACAATGTTCGGAAGAGAGTTGCCGCCATAACAGGTACTTTTTAGAGTTGCCATTTAATAATTTTTTGCTGTATTGATGGGAGTTTTATGATAATATAAATTAGTTTTTACGACAAAATTGAACAAATACATAACGTGATGAAACTAGGTAACTGAAATTAAAACATATATTACATAAGCATTATAAACTTAAAGTTACTATTATTTTTAATTGTTCATAATTTAATTGCAGGTGTGTCAGAGAAAACTGTATCAAGAATTACAAACGAAGGTGTAACAGCGGCGTGTACTTCAAAAAAAATTGTAACCCCGGGGAAGAGTCGCCCGCATCCGAAAAAGTTCGACTTAGACGGGTTCGATTTGTGCGCTATCCGGCAAAAAATTTACAGTTTTTACGTCGTACATAAAGAATTACCAACATTGGTTAAATTACGGGCAGCTCTGCGAGAGGACATCAATTATCAGGGAAGCATCACAACATTGCACAGGATATTAAATAGAATTGGTTTCAAGTACAAGCGATGTCAATCCAGACGAAAACTACTTATGGAACGCCACGACATTACCGCATGGCGTGCAAGATATTTGAATAAAATACGAATAAATCGCACTGTGGAAAAACGACCAGTTGTATACTTAGATGAGACCTATATACACAATACTTATCATACAAAACGTTGTTGGCAGAGTGAGGAGGAGCCAGGAATGTTCGTCTCAGAGTCATCAGGGAGTCGCTGGATAATCGCTCATGCGGGAACAAAAGATGGATTCATAAATGGTGCATTATTAATGTTCAAATCCCAATCAAAGTCCTCAGATTACCACGATGACATGAACTCAGCAAATTTCTTAAAATGGGTGACGGAAAAACTAATACCTAATCTACCTGAAAGGTCGCTTGTGGTAATGGATAACGCTCCTTACCATTGCACTCAATTAAACAAAGCCCCTTCTATGTCAAATATAAAAAGGAGTATGCAAGAGTGGCTCCGGCAAAAGGGTATATATTTTGAAGACACCTGGACAAAAGTTGTGCTGTATGAGCTAATCAAACAAAATAAAGGTCCACCGATATTTGCAGTGGATGAATTATTAACAGCTCACGGACACGAAGTATTAAGGTTGCCGCCTTACCATTGTGACCTCAACCCGATTGAGAATATCTGGAGCCTTGTAAAAAGAAAGGTGGCGGATAAGAACGTGGCACAAGATCCAAAAGAAATATTAAAATTAACTAAAGAGGCCTTTGAGTCTATTACGGCTGAAGATTGGACAGCTCAGTGCTCGCATGTCGAACATTTAGAGGAGGAATATTTAAAAAATGACGGCCTTATGGATGTAGTGATGGACCGAATAATTATATCAACTGCTAGTGATACTGAAACAGAATCTGATTCTGTTTCAATACACTCTTCGGACAGTGATGTCCCTATGGCCGTTGATCACAATTATGCAATAAATCTCTGAATAAACTATTGTATTGCTTTTCTTTACCCTATTTTCTTATCTTTTCCCTGTAAGTAGGTAGAACACCGCAATATAAGTAAATAAAAATATACTTTTTACATAACAGATATATTGTTTCATCGAAGTACGCAGAAAATAGTATTATTTGATAAATTACATCTGCTAAATGTAAATAAAATAGGTAAATTTTTTACTCATAAATGGCAACATTACGTCATGCGATTGCAGCGCCGCGTCTGGGGGACTTCTTTCGTGAAAAGGACTATACAAAGAAGTTCAAAGAAGAAAGAATAGCAAATAATAGCAATAGTCAATATGTACAAATTACGAATAATAATTTAATTAATCATGTCGTTCATACCAATATCTTTGTGAATTGTTAATAATGTAGAGAAAATTACAAAAATGTAAAATTATAATGCTGTTTAAATTTCACATTCGCTTGAAAATTTTCAGGTTCAGCACAGCACTTCAAAGACTTTAATTTATATTAGATTTAAAAAAATTACCTTATAAAAATGGCTCATATAACAGTATGTTCAGCTGCAAAACTGACGCGACTAGCACCAGGGCCTCTTAAATTAATGATAGTGCCTTTGCGGCGAAATATAACTGCTAGCGTTTTACACAACAGCGAACATGAGAGATCTAACAAACATAGGAAATATGTATATGCTGCTACTTCCATTGGCTTAGCCTTACTGGCTGGATCACACATGTATAATGGTAATGAAAACAATTATTTACAAGATATTATCATTTCTATACCCAATCCTTTACTTGCATTATAAGTTTTTATTGATGTCATGCACTGTTTCAGAAAAAAAGTTTTTTAAAGCAGCCCAAGTTGGAAATATTCCTGAACTTCAAAAGTGAGTGAAAAGTTCTTATGAAATGAATTATAGTTGTACATAATTTATTAATGTACCTGATGGATATAAAGGTATTTTTAAAACAGTTTAAATATGTTCATAATCAATACTGGAATAAGACAGTAATAGAAATGGCACTACAAAGCAGAGATTTTACCAAAGTATGCAATGTCAGTCTTTCAGTCACTATTCATCTTTACTTTAATTTATCTAAAACATTTAGCAATTTAGAATATGCTAGTCTTTATGTTTGAAGCACATCTTATTAGTATTTGTTTAACAAAAATTGTGTTAAATGTTTAACACTTAATCTTAACGTTTTATCTTTTGTTTAATTAACCTGTACAAAAATGCAATAACTCTTAAGAGAATAACACTAGATTGTCAAAATTTCAAATTATTGTATGCTTTAATTGTTTTTAAATGTGTGGTACTTTGAAGGAATTAAATTCCTGTCATCTCTGTGCCTCTATTCCATGTTTTAAGTTCTATTCCATGTTTTTGTTTTAATTTTAGACCCATGACAACAAATGTTGCCCATTTCTAAAATCTTAAATATCATCTAACAATACTTCAATCATTTCATAAGAACCTCCACTTTTAATCATCTCACGTAAGTGTTCCATTCTTGAAGCGTCATAATATATCATTTGTCCGTTCGATTAGGATGTATGCACTGTCGTCTTCTTGCTGCGTATGTATTTACTAAGAATCTATGACATAAGTACATGCTGAGTTTCCGGCGTACATGTACGAACGGTTGCTATTTTGGCCGCCACAATTATCAGACTACAAACTTATGTCTTTCCTGCCCTACAGTTTTGTTATATATTTGTACGAAGGCCACTTCATTGGGTCCTCGTTTTCGTACTCTCATCCCACATTTTTCCTTTCTTATCACACAGTCCCTTTTCTGCCCTTTGTCATGCAACTTCTGTCGGATTTGTGATGTTAAGATATTTTTGTTATTTATGTGATTCAAAAATCAACACTTACTTCATCGCCGTTATTGGATTTAATTTAAAATCATCAATCTCTCTTGCTATAAAGTATGTTCCTGTCAACCGAAGTCAGCTGCGAATACAGTGAGTGGTAACTTGGCTAGTAGAAACATTCCTGATTTGCTGCTGGTGTTTAGGCTTAGTGTTTAAAACTAAATGCGATTTACCTGTATAATTTGGTAACTCATTATAACTAGTTCGTACAAAAAAGCGCGCCTGCCATATAAAAGTTGCAGTTGTCTTCCATAAAGTAAATCTCCAACATTTTGGCTTATCATTTGTCGGCAGTAAAGAGCCAATTCTAATAGATCAGTCCTTGGATCGTAAAACCTTGAAACGTGCAAATGCCTTTCTGCCTTCTTTGAGATTCGGGTATTTGAGCTCGCTCAGCGTATAAAAGCAAATGTTTCAGCAGGTCAAATCCGACGCGCTAGATTAGATTCCTGTTTTCCAGGCATATTTATTACAATAAAACGACGTAACTTGTACTTAACATACACGAAATAAAAACTCAACGTTTTATATGAAAGTTATTTTTATCAAAACAAATTAACAAAAAAACTTATAACTACAAAACTATGAATTTTACTTTAAAACAACTATTAAAGGAAATTTAATAACCTTATCTATTTTATTTCATTACACGAAGGACAAATTAAGTAAATCAAATAATCATGTAAACAATTGTGTGAATTGTAATCAATTTGTAAAAAAAACATTCGTAAACGTCTCGCAGAGGCGTCTGTCTATCCTCAACCGGCAACCCCTTACAGCCCTTTTGTCGCATTCAAATTAGCCTAATATGTCCTTTCTCAGATTATGTATTTAACTTTTATTCCATTATTCAATTCTTCGACATTTGCATCTTTCCTTTTTTAAACATCTTCACTATAAACATTACTTTGTTTCTTTTTTCTGTCAAATTTAACAACAACTTATTTGTTCTATTGGACATGTTTCTTGTAATGCATTAACCTCTAAAACAATACAAAATTTTAAATCCCAATGTATAAAAAAGTTAATATAGTACAAATTTAGGTATCTTTTTGTTCCGACAATCCCATTGATGATGTGCGAGGCATAATTAAATTGTGTGCGGAAAAAGGTTGTCAAACTAAAGCTTTACTACAAAGTTAGATTGGTATAGATTTAATTGATATTAAATTTAAATTCCTAATGTATATTGAATGTTAAGTACCTAACCTACCTAGTAATCAGCTCTCTGTTAAACTCTGAGAATAACTCTGACGAAATAGGCATATGTTTGAAAATAGGATTCTCTAAGCTCCTTTTAATACAGACGATAACGCAGTTTCATTATTATGAAAAAATTATATTCTAAATTATAGATCCATTAAACTTGGCTTCCTATCTCCCGCTTTATTCTTAATAGGCATCACTCCGCACAGTCCTGGCACATTATTTACATTTGAAGTTACAGAAGCCACACAACAGTAAACCTTCCATAACCTTTACAGGCAGGTTGCGGCCGCAAAAGACAGCGGATATAATGCCGGAGCAGGCGACGAAGGTCCGGCGGATCGGCGGCACTCACTGGGTTGGACGGCGCTCATGGTGGCCGCCGCCAACGACCACCCCACCGCCGTCAAAGAGCTGCTGAAACTGGGCGCCAGACCCGACTCGCGCGAACAATACGCCGGGGCGTCAGCCACCGCCGCTTCGACGGGCCTGCATCCTCTGGAGGTCTTACAGAGGAGAGAAGACGAATTCTGCGGGTCGATGAATGCGAGGGCTTCCTTTCTGGGGTGGACGGCCCTGCACTACGCCGCGCTGTCGGACTCCACTGCGTCGGCGGAGGCCCTGCTGGAGGCCGGAGCCGACCCCACGGCGCGCGATCACGCCGGCCGTCGGGCCCTGCACTACGCGCGAGAGCCTTCGCCCACGCGTGACGTCATCGTCGAGCACGCGCGCCGCTGGGAGGAGGCCGCCGCCGCCGCCGCGGCCGAAGAGCGGCGCCGGTTTCCGCTCGAGCAGCGCCTCAAGCAGTTCATCGTCGGTCAGCAGGCGGCCATCGAGACGGTCGCCGCCGCAGTCCGGCGGAAGGAGAACGGCTGGGCGGACGAGGACCACCCGCTCGTGTTCCTCTTCCTCGGCAGCTCCGGCATCGGAAAGACCGAGCTGGCCAAGCAGCTGGCGAGGTACATGCACAGGGACGACCCCGCGGCGTTCATTCGACTGGACATGTCGGAGTACCAAGAGAAGCACGAGGTGGCCAAGCTCATCGGCGCGCCGCCCGGCTACGTGGGCCACGAGGAGGGCGGGCAGCTGACGAGGGCGCTCGCCCGGCGCGCGGACGCCGTCGTACTCTTTGACGAGGTCGACAAGGCCCACCCCGACGTGCTCACCGTGCTGCTGCAGCTCTTCGACGAAGGTCGCCTCACGGACGGCAAGGGCAAGCTGATCGAGTGCAAGAACGCCATCTTCGTCATGACGTCGAACCTGGCCGCGGACGAGATCGCCCAGTACGGCCTGCAGCTGCGCCGCGAGCAGGAGGCGCTCCTGGCGCAGAGGACGAGGGCCCGCGCCGCGCAGGGCGAGCCCACCACCCGTAGGTTGCAGTTTTTTGTGAATTAAGTTTTATCGTTCGCGACAAAGAAAGGCGAAATAACACAAACACATTTCCCACAGACTAGCATTTATTGTTATCGATGACGATTTCACATTTTCTCGCAGCCGTGCGGGCCGAAGACGGCCCCGAGCGCTCCCCGGAGGTGTCGCGGCAGTTCAAGGACGAGGTGGTGCGTCCCATCCTGAAGAAGCACTTCGGGCGCGACGAGTTCCTCGGCCGCATCAACGAGATCGTGTACTTCCTGCCTTTCTCGCGCCAGGAGCTGCTCACGCTGGTGCAGCGCGAGCTGGCGCGGTGGGCCGACAAGGCGCGCGTGCGCCACGGGCTCGAGCTGCGCTGGGAGGGCGGCGCGCTGGGCGCGCTGGCCGACGGCTACGACGTGCACTACGGCGCGCGCTCCATCACGCACGAGGTGGAGCGCCGCGTCGTCAACATGATCGCGCTGGCGGCGGAGCGCGGCGCTCTCGCCAGAGGCTCCGCCGTGCTGCTGCTCGAGGCCGACGGCCGCCTGGCGCTGGCCGTGCGTCCGCCCGCCGCCCGCGACTACCGCCGCCTCGATCTGGACGCCCTCTGAAGGCGCTCGGGAGACGCGGGGAACGGGGCGCGGGAGGAAAACGAAAGGCCGATTCGACTCGTGCTCGCTTTATTACAAATACAATGTATAAGGAACTATAAACAACGTCTTACAAAATATAAGTCGACTCCGGTCGCTCAGTTGCGGGTCTTTATCTAGTAAAGTTAGTTTCGTTTGTGCCTCGGACTAAAACCTGGTTTTACTAAATGAAATGCGAGTGCCGTTTGCCGTTTGCCGTTTGCCGTTTGCTAAAAGATTGCTAAACGCTAAGCGCCTTAAATGCTCTGTTCGACTAAACGTCTCCCGCCTCGTCCGTGAGTGGCTCTCGTTGTGTTATGTTTAGCCATGTCAAATAATTCCTTCCTTCGGGACATTTAAAGGCACGAGGCTCCTTTAGAAAAGTTGTCAGCGAAATGCGTCGTAAACGTCGAACTTTAACTTCTCAAGTGCGCACGTAATATTTCATTTCGGATATCTCGATACATTAATATATTTCGGAAAACACTTTGGAACACATACTTTTCAATTGTAATTATTATTAACCTTATTATCTAAATTGCGTAAACCGACTGCGTCTACTTCGCCGTCTGATCTCGGCACATTAAAATAAACGATGTTTAAATTGTTTTTCGAAGTCACGAAAGAGTGACATTAGGCACGCGTGCGCGGACGGGATCAGAGCCAGCCGGCGGAGTGATGCGGCGCGTGGCCGTGCAGCGGCGTGACGCCGGCGAGCCGAGCCAGCGCCGTGCAGCGTCCGCACGTCTCCGTCCCCGCATCCGCTTCGCTCGCTCCGTTCGCCCTCGCCGACTCGCCGCCGCCGCTCTCGTACCCGCACTGCCCGCATTTCTCCTGCAAGAATCGACGTTTCGGTCACGAGGAACGATGCCTCGGCGCCGCCGCCGGTGGATCGCCGTCGTCACCTTGAGAGCGTCGTCCTCGAGGCTGGCGAGCAGCGGCTCCCGGCTGCCTCCCTTCGTCGCGGCCTCGTCGGGCGCGGCGGGTTGCGCCTGACGAGAGACGGGAGGCGCGGCTCGAGGGGCGGGGGGCGCTCGCGCCGGCACCGAGCTGGCGCGCTGGAGCGCTTCCGCCCCGCCCTCCGCCTGACGCCGCGAGTCGCCAAACTTTTTGCGCTTGCACTTCAGCGCCGCCAGAGCGCTCAACGGACGCGACGGCCTGCCGCGGGGCGCTCGTTCGGGACTCCGCTGCGAGTCGCTGCCCGAGTCGGACCTCTCGCTGCCGCTGAAATATATGGTGGGCGCAAAATGTTAATTTTCATCACAAAAATGTTGTCGTGTTGTTTTTACTAAAAAATATACCTTCTGTACACAGACCCTCCGCAGTTTTATTATTTACTGGTAGGTACTAAATGCAACAACCTGTAATGCCTTACCGTATTTACTTTAAAAGAAATGGAAAATAAAACTAAATACGATGTGGTGGACCACAAAAATAAGAAGATATTTTATGGCATATACCCAAATCACATTGTAAAGGTTTAATTCTCACACAGCTTGGTTTCTGTACCAAAATATCCACTGGTTCTAATCCAGTGATTTATTGTTTATTAAGTTTAAAGGTACCGCGATAAAGAAGATTAACAACACATGTGTTCCTTGCGTTGACTTGTGTTTTTTTCGAAAAAATCGATTAAATAAAATTATAAAATAATGATTTTGTTTTTTTGTCTTATGATTTTAAAATGTGGGGGGGGAGGTTTAGGTTAGGTTAGAACCAAATAACTAAACTTAAACCAAATATTTTTTCAAGTAGGTATATCGTGAAAACAAATAACGTTTAAGTTCCGAGTGCCCACGCGTTACCTCGGTGAGGGTCCGGCGTGGTCGCAGACGGAGTCCTCGGAGCGTGACCGACCGATGAGACGCGAAACCCGCGCGGCCCGCGCCGCCTCGATGATGGTCCCCCAGCGGCGTTTGTGGTGCGGTGGCTTGCGCGGGGCCGGCCCTCCCGGGCCGTCAGACAGACTGGACTGGCTCGTACGCAGGCGCCCGCCGAGCAGAGCCGACAGCGAGCCGTGATGACCGCCGCCGTGCGCCCCGCCGTGATCGTGGTGCAGCGACGCGAAGAACTCGTCCACCGGAGCAAGCGAACCCCCCGCTATGTTGAAACCTTTCATCAGCCGACGCTCCTTCTGCCGGTTCTTTTTACCGCCTCCGCCTCCTGCGAACGATAGATACGAAAGTTCAGCGACGGGTCGCGTCGGCGGTCATTCGGCGAGAAAAGAGGTCGAGAAAGAGCGAAAGTCGGAAAGTTTTGTGGCGACAGGTGTCGAGGAGCGCAAAGAGGAAGACAAGCGAAAGATCACCTGGCGCACCGGCGTTGGCTGTAGACGTGTTCATGCCCGAGTTGCGCAGGATTTCGACGAGCTCGCAGCGGAAGGCGCTCACGTCCTGCTTGATCTCGTTGACGTCGTCTTCGGTGACGCCGCCGCACTCGGCACGCCGCTGCTGCACCGTCACGTAGCGCCGCACCAAGTTGCGCATGATCGCCTGCAGACGAGACAATTTTTGATATACGGACGGCGTCGTGCATCCAATCGGGTTGGAATATTTAGGAAGACTTTATGAAGAGCTACTCACCTGGTATCTGAACTCGCGTTCGGTCGTCTGCTTGGCTTTCCTCTGAAAGGAACAAAAGGGCGGAGTAAGTATTAATAAGTTTTGCATATGGAAATATTATCTATCTTCAGACTTAACGCCTGCGCAAATATTACGCCAAAACACCATCGCGGGAAAATTGCCGTCACCCGCATCAGGCGCTTGAAGATTCTTCATACAAATCTGTCTACTCATGTCACTTGACCTACGATCATTGTACAATTCACATCCTTTTTTTGAATTCCGCTAAAGATAGAACAATCTACATCACAATATATAATAATTTATCCATTATAACTCGGGATAATTTATAAGTGGGGAATAAAAATTATAGGAAGTTATTAGTCCAAGCAATGCAAAAATATAAAAACACAATTATTAGCCCAGACGATAATACTAAAATTTTTCACCAAAACTGTAAATCAATCAAACAATCAATGAAGCAATAATTACCACCGAAAATCAACCCAAAACAATTGATAGGGATCGGCAAGCTGGCCTGTCACATAAAATCAAGATGTCAATCATGGAAAATTACTATACAATAATTACCTCGTTTATAAAGCCACAAGGAACGAGTGCACAGATTTAAGAAGTTGGATTGATTAAATTTATAAATCTATCAAACCAAAAGACATTATTGTATTAATAATAGCTACAAACGACAAACGTTAGCTAGTATACCTTCATCTCACATCTCTCAGATTTTGTTATTCGTACATGAAAACAAATATTTTTAAGTCAACGGGAATGGACAACAGCCGTGGTAGACATGGGGAAAAATTGGTTATGCCAAAAAATTATCTGAAATTGTTTGGGAAAAACACGTTTTGTATGATCAGTAAAGATCTTCCTACTAGCACTTTTAAAAATCGACTTAATATACTTTCTTTTGAAAAAATTTAAATGATTATTTGTGAGGTAGCATTATCAATATTAATTTAATAATGTAATAATATATTTTAATGATGTGATGACGTAAATAGTGATAAAAGAATGTAATAATTGACTACGACGATTGATAATGTAGTTGTAATATGTAATTCTAAATTCTGCCCTTTTAATTATGTAGGACAAATTTCCACGCCATTGTGTGTGAATATGCGAAATGTAGAGTTTGCAAGCATATTTTTGTAAATAAATTATTATAATTCTTACGTACTCGTATAGTGCGCATGTGCTCGCGCTTGGCCCGCGCGTGGCCGCAGAGGCGCCGCTGCAACCAGCGCCAAGCGTACAGCGCAGACTTGGGCGAAGGAAGGACGTTGAAAGGCGGAGCCGCGGTGCCGCCTTCCTCGAAATAACTGATCCACAATTTGCTGCGAGCGAACTTCCACTCCACGTCCGCACGCTCCTGTACCCATTGTTTTTGCAATATACATATGTATATTGTTTTATATAAAACGTGGCCAGTTCTAATAATATTAATTTCTATATTAAATATAAAGGTAAAATCTAGGTTTGGGAGCATTTTGATAGACCAAACTAAATAACAATATATTCATTTTTGAATAGTAGCTTATGAGAAATTAATTGAAATATCAATCTCTAGGAGTAAAAATTGGATTGTGATTGAGTATAGAAAGCGGGCGTTAGGTAGCAAGACGTACCTACACTTAAGAACGTCAATAAAAAATCCTTCTAAATTTCCATTTACTGCCAATTCTATTTAATAATTATACCTATATCCCAATTTAAATCAGGCGTAGAATGCACTAAATGTTTGTAAGTATCTGAAACTACACTTGGGTGTAGCTCGACAGAACATCTTGAATTACCACACTACATTGTAAATTAGAATTAAAAAAATTAAGTTATATTATTATCAGTAAGCATGGTGAAATACAATACGAAAACACATCGAGAATTACGTACGGAAATAAGCTGGTACGAGTGATTCATCATGGCGATGAGCAGGTTGAGCAGCACAATAACGTTGATAACAGCGTAGGTGCCGAACATGAGCATGCCCCAGAAACGCGTGAAGATCTTGATACCGTCCAGCTCGAACGAGTCCAGGTCCACGAGCCCGAAAGCCGCCCAGAACAGCGTCTGCATCGTCTCGAACAAGCTGTCGGCACGCTCCGTTATGATATAACTGCAGACGCTGCGGTATCTCAGTACCCGCGCACACTTACTTCGCGAACCTTCTCCAAACTACGCACGCGTCGGGGTCCTGAGGCGCAGTCGAGTTGGTGGGGGCGTGAGCGCCGGCTGACGGACAGCGCTTCTTCTCCATGTCCGCGTAATACCACAGCAGTTGGTTTAGGCCTGAAAGAATTTCCTTATAGGCCCCAATTGTGATTCGTCCCAGATCTGGCGGTTTATAGTTAATGACAGCACTAACCGCACGAGAAAGCGAATATTACGAGAATGTCGAGCACAAAGAACTTGAGTATGTCGAGCACCATCCGGCTGAGCGACACTTGGAGCGGGCCGAGATGGGGATTGACGCTGAAGATGTACACCAGCTTGAGGCTGCTGAAGATGTTGGCGGCGGAAAACAGGCCCTCAGACAGCAGCATGGGGTCCCAGGCGTCCCACTTCTCGCGAGGCTGATTCCACTGCAAGCCCAAGTGCATCTCGCGCCGCACCTGCAAAGAGACGCACATTAGCGGTCTGCGCCGGTCTCGGAGCCGGTTCTGTTTCGCTTCCACTCACCTGGAAATGTGAAACGACGCGCAGTGCGACGGTAGCTACGTACAGTGAGTTGGTGACGAAGTCGATCACGTTCCACATGTCGTGCACGTACTCGCGCAGCCCCATGTCCCAAAGTTGCTTCACTTCGCTCCAGATCAGTCCTGCGCGGACGTCGGACCGATATCAAGCATAATCTTACGTTAAGTCTTATTATAATGATATATCTAACACGAGCTCCTCTTCTCCATTAGCTTTTATTGAGCGCCTCGCTCTCAAAATAGGCACTCATTGTACTCGCTGTGGACACTCGGGCAAGCCTATTGACCACGGCTCTGTTTATCAGCAAGGCCATTGAGGATATATGGATAAGAAGGTATATATATTAAATTGAATAATTTTTATTTTATTGAAATGCTTATATCCTTGTCTTTCAACACTTCCTCCATAACCCAATGCCATGTCCCGTTAGATCTCTTGAAATTTAATTAAACGTACTCCTCTACTCCATCCTTCTTTGCTTGTTGTCCTTTTACGTTTATTTATAATTGTGACGCAGATGTTACGACTCGACAGACTACAAAAAAGGTTACTGTAGCATCTACTTTTTCCAGTCATCTTGAAAAAAAAGTTGCCAACATACGAAACCAGGCTAGCGCACTTTAAGATGTTGTCATTGGAGAATCGTAAAAAATTAATTGATAAACAATCAGTTTGGTAGGTAATCCCGTTGCCATGATAACGCACAAGCGGTCAAGGATGTTAAACTTTTCAAAATTAGATTTTTTTTACAACATAAAATGGATGTAGGTATGTAGTTATAATACAATGGTTAGTTCCCATTGACAATTTTTACAAGAGACGTTGCCGGTTTGTGTTACGCTGTTGTGCGAAAAGAAGGGAAATATCTATCTAGTAGTAGGTAAAGGACCTCGCCCCGGCCATTCCATGCCTTACTTTTTGACTTTTTTCCTTACCTTTTGACCTCTCAGCCAATTTGTCACTGTGACCGAAATTGTTTATGTAATTTGTTCACGGGCAGGTGCCGATCCCTTATGCGCGCGTATTAATAATAAGTCTTAGAATAAAAAAAGTTGTTTGATTTGTAAAACCCAATATGAATTAATAAGCGATGTAATAATAGTTGTAGTAGCTTAAGAACCTAGGGGTAGAAACACCAATAAACTATAGAAATAAATAAATGTGAATTAATATTTGCTAACATCAAATAGCATTTTCTTAGACATCACTAAAAGTTAACCGTTAAAGTGAAGAAGATCCCAAATCATATGATGCTACGTATCGTTTTTACATTAAATATAATAACGTGAGTTAACCTAATTTAATTAAACGTGAACGTAAGGAATTTATTACAAAGATACATTCATCATAAGCTGCGTACCCACCTAGCGCATAGGCTCGCGCGGCAGCCTCGCGAGCCAAATGCCTCGGCTGGTGTGGACGTGCCTCGGCCTGCCGGCGGCCCCGAGCCATCTGGTGTCGGTAAACTTGACGTGCTCTAAGGTGCCTCAGTGAGCGCTGTGCGTTAGGTGGGGACGGTTATGTTTTGACTCGCGCGCGAAGCTACTTCGAGTTTTGTCTCTTGACTTTTAAATTTGTCAAATTATTTTTATTTAACTTTACATAATCACTTAAAAAAAAAAAAAAAAAAAGGAGGGGGGGAAAAAAGGAGGGGGAAAAAAAAAAAGGAGAAAAAAGGGAAAAAAAAAAAGAAAAAAAAAAAAAAAGGGGGGGGGGGGGGGGGGGGGGGGGGAAAAGAGGAAAAAAGGGGGGGGGGGGGGGGGGGGGGGGGGGGGGGGGGGGGGGGGGGGGGGGAGGGGGGGGGGGGGGGGGAGGAAGGGGGGGGGGGGGGGGGGGGGGGGGGGGGGGGGGGGGGGGGGGGGGGGGGGGGGGGGGGGGGGGGGGGGGGGGGGGGGGGGGGGGGGGGGGGGGGGGGGGGGGGGGGGGGGGGGGGGGGGGGAGGGGGGGGGGGGGGGGGGGGGGGGGGGGGGGGGGGGGGGGGGCGGGGGGGGGGGGGGGGGGGGGGGGGGGGGGGGGGGGGGGGGGGGGGGGGGGGGGGGGGGGGGGGGGGGGGGGGGGGGGGGGGGGGGGGGGGGGGGGGGGGGGGGGGGGGGGGGGGGGGGGGGGGGGGGGGGGGGGGGGGGGGGGGGGGGGGGGGGGGGGGGGGGGGGGGGGGGCGGGGGCCCCGCCCCCCCCCCCCGGGGGCCCCCCCCGGGGGGGGGGGGGGGGGGGGGGGGGGGGGGGGGGGGGGGGGGGGGGGGGGGGGGGGGGGGGGGGGGGGGGGGGGGGGGGGGGGGGGGGGGGGGGGGGGGGGGGGGGGGGGGGGGGGGGGGGGGGGGGGGGGGGGGGGGGGGGGGGGGGGGGGGGGGGGGGGGGGGGGGGGGGGGGGGGGGGGGGGGGTTTTTTGGGGGGGGGGGGGGGGGGGGGGGGGGGGGGGGGGGGGGGGGGGGGGGGGGGGGGGGGGGGGGGGGGGGGGGTTTGGGGGGGGGGGGGGGGGCCCCCGGGGGGGCGGGGGGGGGGGGGGGGGGGGGGGGGGGGGGGGGGGGGGGGGGGGGGGGGGGGGGGGGGGGGGGGGGGGGGGGGGGGGGGGGGGGGGGGGGGGGGGGGGGGGGGGGTTTTTTTTTTTTTGGTTTTTAATATTTTTTTTTTTTGGGGGGGGGGGGGGGGGGGGGTTGGGGGGGGGGGGGGGTTGGGGGGGGGGGGGTGGGGGGGGGGGGGGGGGGGGGGGGGGGGGGGGGGGGGGGGGGGGGGGCCCCCCCCCCCCCCCCGGGGTTTTTTTTTTTTTGGGGGTTTTTGGGGTTGGGGGGGGGGGGGGTTTTTTTTTTTTTTTTTTTTTTTTTCCTCCTGGTTTTTTTCCCCCGGGGGGGGGGGGGGGGGGCGGGCCCGGGGGGGGGTTTGTGGGGTTTTTTTTCCCCCCCCTTTCCCCCCCCCCCCTTTCCCCCCCCTCCCGGGGGGGGGGGTTTGTGGGGTTTTCGTTTTGGGGTCCCCCCCCCCCCCCCCCCCCCCCCCCGGCCGGGTGGGTTTTTGGGTTTTTTTTTTTTTTCCCTCTCCTCCCCCTCCCCCCCCCCCGCGCCCTTTTTGGGCCCTTTTTTTTGGGGGGGGTTTTTACGGGGGCAAGGGGCCCCCCCCTTATTTAGTTTTCCCCGCCCTTTAGGAAACCCGGACCCCCCCTGGGGCCCCCCTACCATTAAGGCTTCAATAATAGCGTCACAAACTTCTGGAACTATTCTTGAGATACTCTGCTTCGATGCTCGAAAATGCTCTTGGAAACATGCTGGTCCTGCTCCATAGGACAATCCTATGATTGGCTCTATAGCCTGGACAAAATCAAATTGGTTGCTGATTTTTTGCTTTAACATATTTTTGTTATTATTATTATTTTTTTTTTTAATTTATATAATGCTACAAATGTAATTATTTTTTTTTGTATCTCACACACTGTTTTGTTGTGTTTTTTTAATATTTTTATTACTCTTTAATGTTAATATTCTAAGGTTTCGATATTTGTAAATATGTGAGGAACATGTATACTAACTTTTTTAGTATAGTAGTTTATTCTAAGAGTACATTGTCTTCACATATAATTATTTAACAAATGTAACAAAATATTGTAAACCTATTTTAAAAGAGTAAGTGTGGAGTTTCTTGCCCATTCTTCTCCACACGAAACTACCTTTTGGAAGGGGCAACTAGAATCATCTTTATATTTTTTTTTTTGACGTTCAAAAGTGCCATTTTAGATGGTCTAATTGAAATAAACGATTTGACTTTGACTTTGAATCTAATCGAAAAATCTTAAAGTTATTAAAATTCGTTCATTCACAGTGATTGCTTCTCTATATTTTGTATCGCACTTTTTGATTTTATCAGACAACAATGAGCACACATTTTCGAATTCTTGTACGGACATTCGTGTAAAATTATGTACAGTCTGATCATATACTAAATCTCCAAGTAATCTATTTCCATATTGGTGGCGACGCTCATAAATTTTTCTAATCCAGAAGCGTCTAGGTTTTTTCTTGATACGTGACTGTTATCGTTTCTTTAAACAATAAGCAGCTAGGCTAAGCTGATACGTGACTGTTATCGTTTCTTTAAACAATAAGCAGCTAGGCTAAGCTGATACGTGACTGTTATCGTTTCTTTAAACAATAAGCAGCTAGGCTAAGCTGATACGTGACTGTTATCGTTTCTTTAAACAATAAGCAGCTAGGAAAATAGCTGCAGCTGAAAATACACGACTGTCTGAAGTGAATTTAGCGATAATATTTACGTCCCGTTGCCGTTTTGACCATGGTCTTGTACGTCTAGGTTTAACGCTTGACTGATGTACCTAATTAGAGCAGAGGTTCTTTAGTTTTTCTCAATTTTCCGTAGCCTAAAAATCTTTTTTTATCATAGCTTAAATTCGAAAGTAAAGCTCACCGCTGACCCAGGCCAGGATGAGCCACTCGACGAGAGTGGGCGGCGAGCCGCGTCGGGACACGGGCGCGTCCGCTGGCCCGCCGCCGAAGATACCCGCCGTCGTCTCTATGCGCTGCGACGCCAAGATCAGCAAGACTGCAACCACCGCGATAAGTAAGCTTTTGCTTACGTTCCTAACGAGGTCGAAATATGATGTCAAGATGGTGGAAGTACTGACAGAGAAACATGAAGTAGCTAGCAGAGTGGCAAAGGAACTTGATGAAGGGCTTGCGTAACATGCGGCCTGCCGTGGAGTGCGGTGCGGCCAGGTAGGCCAGCGAGTACAGCGGGAACATGGCACCGATGCGCACCATCTCGGCGGCCTGCAGCACCATGTTTTTGCGGCGGAAACCCGGCACCGATTCGTACCAGATGGAAGCCAACAACTGCTGCACGTTAGGGTGCGCCACGAACTGCAACATATGGCGTCGGTAAGGGGTCACTTTCAAGACTAATCGACGCGCGTCTCGCTATTCACAACAGTGGCACTACAACCTTCTCGGTCTGGCCTCAGATTTTTATATGTGTTTCACAATCTCTATCTATTCAGACATACGACCTCCGAAATGAGAGTCCCACGACAATACCACTAGGCTTGGCCACTATGCCAACATTGCTTGTTCATATAGCCATTGGTCCCACCTTTTTCTGGCGCAGTTTGATGGCGAGTTTGAGCCGCGACAGTCGCATTCGCTCCGGAGCACCCGGCTCGAGCAGTGGCGGCGGCTGCGGGCACCCTTTCTCGTGGTTGAGCAGCACTTGGAGCTCGTGTGAGGTACGCGTGTGGTCCAGCAATGCCGTGGCGAACTCCTGGCACTGACCGCGTAGTTCTTGGTACTCGGTCTTGAACTCGTGCTCCAGCGCCGATAGCCGCCGCAGCTCCCACGACAGCTCGAACGCGGTGAGGATCGGATCCTTGGACGACAGTGCGATGAGCGACGGCGAAGCGAGCGCGCGATAAGCGTTGATCCGCGAGCGCGAGTGGCGCAGGGAGTCTTCGCGCCGCGATCGCACGCACTCATCGCAGCCGCAGCGCACGTCGTGTGGCGCCGGCAGACGCGCGCCTCGATCCAGTAGCAGCTTGATGATCTCGTAGCTATCGCGATGCGCCGCCAGCGTCAGTGGCGTTATGTCCGACGTGAACGTCGCCGTCTCCGGCGGGAGAGCCTCCCAACTCTGTGGTGGGTAACGAAAATAGTATAAAAATTCTGTACGGCTGGCAGATGTGAAACGTCGAAATAAATATGTGTAATATGTACCTAGTGGTGCTACTGTGACAATTACTCCAATTCATGTAGCGTCCTTTTAAATTTTATGAAAAGTGCTACAGGTGTAGTGTCCTACAGGTGTCTCAGAGCATTAATTTAGGACCACGAGGCCACTCGATTATGAACAACACACACAAAACTTACGTGTGGCTCGCCTTCCTTGCGTGTACGTTCTTCGTGATCGAGCAGCGCCTCGACAGCCTCGACGAACTCCTCTGAGATGGCGTGCAGCAACGCGTCGCGCGTTTCGACACCGAACTCGAGTAGCAGCTCGACCATCTCTAGGTTTTCATTGTCGATGGCCATGAGCAGCGCACTGCGGCCCAGCGGATCGACGCAGTCCACGTTGATGTGTCCGGTGTCGCGCGCGCGCTGCAGCACTCGACGCGTCCCGGCCACGTCGCCGCGCTCCACGCCGAGCAGGTACTTTTTCTCCTCCAACGATAGCACGGCCATCTCCTGGTGCGGCCGCACCACGTTGTCCTCCTCCGTCATGCCATGGATGCTGTGCCTCTGTCGCACGCCCGAAACTCGTTAAAATCGAGATACATATGGACATTTAATAGGGCCGTTTGTGCTCTATTTATAATGCCCGATAGATTTGATAAACACGAGGCGGTAATGAACCGGCCTGTTGTTATTTTTCATTATTTATATTACAGAAATAGACGCATTCCGACAACATGCAGCTCGGCCGACGAGGGTCCAGCGCTCACGGGTGACCTAAACGAGTGCGTACCGTCCGCGGTCGTCGGAATACGCCTATAAATGCACTTCCGATGACATAACAATATTCAAATCTCTCTCATACGACTGAATAAAAAGATTGAAATTGTCTTTTGCAAACTTGATGAATTCGATATGATCAATGAATATATTACAGATATATAGTTCTGAATGCTAGCGAAAGGCGGCGAAGGTGCAAGGCCCGCTCTATATTCGTCAGATTCCGACTAGGCAACAGCGAGAAGTGCAATCACACCCTACCTTGACCTTGGTGTCGAGAGGACGAGGCCCGGGCGCCAGCAAGGTGCCCAGTTCCACGCGGCACGTGGAGGGCCGCCGCTCGCCGCTACCGGCCGACATCTCGGAGCCGCTCTCTGCACAGACAAAGCGTCACTCACTCACTGCGCTGCGCCCGCCCAAGCCTCGCGCACCGCTCCCCGCACTCACCGACCCCGTCGCCGCGCGCGCCATCCTGCGATCGGTCCGAGAACTGAAACGGCCCAAGCGTACTATCGTCACTCGGATGTTTACAGTAAATGTAGCATGAATGGCCGTCTATTTTTTTATATATTAGAACGATTATTTAGATCGGTTCCGGTTCTTTAAAAAAAATGCTAGCGGTGAACCTGTACGCGGCGCACGCGTCGCGCGGCGATCTGCCGCGAGTGCCGGCGCAGCGCCTCCAGCGTGTGTGAAATCTGGTCCGACAGCGCTCCGTCTCCGCCTTCAGCCGAAGAATCTGCGTCACAAACATAAAGTCTCGAACCATTTGATACGTGACATTAGAAGAATAGTCAACTTATCAAGTTTCATAATTATATCTTAAGCTTGCCTGGAAGAGATCGCTTATGGTCCAAGAGCTAGTGAACCCTGGGAGAACTCTTAATTAGAAATTTTATACTTAATTTATGACATCTAAGACAATAGATACCTGGAGCTCACCCTGCATCATCAGCCCTTTTTTTTGGACTTTAATAAATTGATTTCAAAACTTTTTTTAAATTTGAAAATTTTATAGGATATTAGTATTTTGACAGCGATTACAATAGCAAATATATAAATCAATTAGAAAACTAATTATAGTTAAAATAAACTTTATCTTATACTTATTTTTATATGTTTTCAAGTAAACGTCTCAGAGTAAATATGTACAGGGTTTTGAAAATAGACCTTGAAGGGAGGGAACTGTAAGATGAGTGAGAGGTGTTGTGAATGCTATATGAAGTTTATTAAGAAGGACTATACCTGTCTCGAGCAAAATGTACAAAAAATTTTTTTGATTTTCTTTAAATCTTTATATATTTATTTATAATTGAATTTTTAAAAAATCTAACTTTATATATATAATTTATAATTTAGTATTAATATTAAATTTATATAATAATTTTTGTATTTTAATAAAAAACTTAATTTAAGAGACTATTAATAATAAATAAATTGAAAATAAGAAAAGAAATAATTTAAATTTAAAGAATTTTTTGCCAGAGGAAATTAAGCAATATGTTAAAAATTAAAACTTTCTTTTGATAAAATATCACAAGTGAATCATCAACTTTTCAAATCTACCAGCATATATGTATTTTTATGAATTTATATTTTTCTAGTTTATTTTAATTTAACTATATTTTTGACTTAATTAGTGGTACAATTTTATATTTTATATATATTAATGGAAATATTCATAATAATTACTTAAAATAATTACATAGAACCTCTATAATAATAGGAGACGCGAAAAATTAGTTATAGATTTTCACTTATAATTTGACTTAGATTTTATTGAAAAGATTTGATTTATTTTATAAATTTTGAGCCAACTACTTTGAATATTTAAGTGAAACATACTGCTTAGCTAAATTTCAAAGGAATCAAATTAAACTAAAAGAAAAACATTTTCATAATATATTTATTATTTATACTCTAAAATCTATAGAATACTTTTACAAGGACCTGCTGATACTCCAAACAATCACTGAACTGAGGAATATTTCAGGTAAATACAACTATTTTTTCTAAATTTAATAATCCTATTATTGACTTATATTTAATTCTTAACAACCTTATTGATTATTAAAATTTTTTTTACTATTTTATAAAAAATTTTAAAATCAATATATAAAAATGATACAAATTTCATATTGAAGAAAATGAATTTAAATAATTAATTGATAACCCTAAATAATTATTATTTATAATTTTTTTTGACCCTAATTCCCTTTAAGTTTATTTTCAACCCTGATTAAATTCTCTATTTACTTGAAAACATATAAATTTTAAGTATACAGGATAATTTATTTTAACTATCACTGTACTTTTCTAATTATCTTATAACTTCTTTATTTAATCCTTAATTTTTTTTTAAATTAAATAAATAAACTTTATCCTATAAAATTTTAAATTTAAGAAACAGTTTTGAAACTCAATTTATTAAATCAGGTATATAGGTGACCTCATATTATTTTAATTTATCTAAGTATAAAATTTCTACCTTAAGGAGACCTTACTCCCAGGTTATAGCTCTGCTTAGTATACGTAAGGCCGGCCGTTGCACCTTTTTTTTATTCTGTAATTCTTATGCAATAAAGTTTAAATACAGTAATTACCTAATCTAAAATTATTGAGTAGATAAGTATATCTAATTCGTATTATATTAGGTAATAGGCGGATGAGGTAGGATTCGTAAAAAGCAGATGCCCAGCGCGAAACAAGACTTTTTATGACTTACGATCGCATTGAACTCAATGACTCACTTGAGCCCAAACAAACTGCATACAACAGACACTTCTTAGCTAAAAATTTAATTTCAACATTTTCAAAACTGTCGCACGGGGTTAGTACGGCTTTATACGGCTCATTATATGTATATGCAATTGTGATGATTTAATATTGAACTTTTTTGTATCGTTTTTTATTTTATTGATAAAGATTGGAACGGTCAACCGTTTTTTATTTTAGGTCTCGCGTTAAGGAATAGGAATAAGACGTCTTCACTCACCGACTGCAGATTATATCGGTGGGAATTTGCATGGTACCAAATAATATGTGGACTCGGTAAGGAAAGTGGACGCGGTGCACGTGGTGTTGAGCTGAAGCGCGGCGCTCAAACAACGACTACAACGCGCCGCGCTCGCCGCGCACTGCCGCCCTCGCCGCTCTCTACCGCCCTCCGCCGCCGCCCTATGTTAGGGCGGCCGGACGATATCGATAACGTAACGCACGCTGCAATTTTCTAATTTATCATTAGTGTTTAAAGATTTCTAAACCTTTGTTGACAACTGTTATACTTACTCTGCACCCATTTCCATTACGCCTTATATTTTTATACAATAGACTCTTTTATAAACATGTGACATTAATTTACTTAGAAACGAAACGATTTTAATTTAATCTTTGAACATTGTTTTGTCATAAATATAAAAAGTAGCGCAAAAATATTAAAAACAAGTGAGTATCGATAAATATTCACCGCGCGAGAGACACCGCTCATGAAAATGGCGCAGCTTACGAGCCATCCGCCTCTACACTTATTTAATTGCTACTCGCTGAATTATGGCGTTCCGGAATCCCAAGAAATCTCCATCATAAGCAATGAGTACTGTCATTGTTTTACTTTCAGTTCAAGATCCCTCCAATAGTCCGAAAGACAGTTTACTTTCCAAAATGTAGAAGGCAGTGGTCACGACGTGGGGTCTAATGTTCTCTCAAGATTAAAGGTACAGATTCTTAGACTTAAGGACATAATAATAATTTATATCGAGTTACTGAAGAAACAAAGATAAATTATATATTACTGTACCGTTTAGATAAAACAGCAGTTACATCGTTTAGTTTCTAATAGAGACGTCAATAAAGGTTATTCAAAGGCGGGGCCGTATTGCAGAAGCTATTTCTGCCCTGCTTAGACGTGTCAATGTTTTCGAGGATCGATTGAGTTATATATGCACTAGCCGGCGACTCGTAAGATGTTTGAAAAACTACGCTTTCATTGGAGAACAAATAATGCTTTAAACAAAGAAAACATATCGCGCGACTACAAGGTTTGCGTATTAAAATGATCCATCAAATATGTTTTTCAGTTTAATGTAATTCGTTGAAAGATAGCACTGCTGGAATAACAACTGGACGATACGCAGCTGGCTCCCGGTGGCGAGTGGTGAGTGGCAAGCGAGCGGGGCCGGCACATGTCGCCGGAAACACAGGAGTCAGCAACTAAAAATACGTCCGTTCATAATATGACGAACCGTTAGGCTAACGAATTGTTTACGTAAATAAAGCTGTTTCTAAACTGTATCAATAGGCTTAATCTTTATAAGGTTATACAGGTAGATATAGAACAGGTGTTCTGACCTGATTTCGGTCAATTAATATTTTCTAGCTGTTTATTATCACTACGCCTAAAGTTAAGTTCGTCCGCAAGCACTTAGTCTGCCTAAGTAATAATTGTGGCAACTGGACTCGATGACCACACCTCTGTATAAATTCCACTTGAGGTATCGATTATACAAATATGTTGTGTACATATAATAGCGGCATGTAGGTACCTTAGTAGATGTACATCTACTAAGGCAGCCGCCTGGCTCGCGTTTTGTGTATCATAACATTAACAGACAACATTATCTACACACACCTGACTAATCTAAAGAAGGGGGAGGCGCTGGCGGTAAGTTTGGACATAGCGAAAGCCTTCGATCGGGTGTGGCACAGAGCACTGCTCTCGAAGCTTCCAGCCTATGGGCTTCCCGAGAAATTCCTATTTCTTTTGCATATCAATGATATGTTGCAACTTAGCAACATTCATTGCTATGAGGATGACAGCACTGGGGATACTTTTTACACTGGCCGGGCAGGTATTTCTCGGGCAGTTGTTTCTCGGGCAGATGAGTACCGGAACAAACTTGTGTCTGAAGTCGAAACTCTACTACGTGGAGTCTCAGACTGGGGCAGACAAAACCTAGTCCAATTTAACCCCAAGAAGACACAAGTTTGCGCGTTTTTCGCTAAAAAAACACCCTTTGTCGCTACTCCTCTTTTCGAAAACACTCTTCTTAAAGCCACAGCCAGCATTGGAATACTTGGCGTTGACATATCGAACGACGTTCAGTTTCGCGGTCACTTGGAGGGAAAGGCTAAATTAGCCTCCAAAAAGCTTGGTGTGCTCAGCAAGGCGAGGCGGTACTTCACTCCGGGCCACCGCATGCAACTATATAAAGCGCAAATTCGGCCCCACATGGAGTACTGCTCTCACTTCTGGGCGGGGGCTCCCCAGTACCAGTTCCTTCCACTTGACCGTATACAACGCAGAGCGGTTCGAATCGTCGACGACCAATCCCTCTCCGAGCGGCTTGATCCTTTGGCGTTGCGTAGAGATGTGGGGTCACTCTGCATCTTCTACCGCATTTACCATGTAGAGCGTTCAGAGGAGTTGTTCGGATTAATACCTGCAGCTGAGTTTCATCATCGGACGTCGAGACAAAATACGAAATTCCACCCGTATCACCTCGACGTCCGCCGTTCCACAACTGAGCGTTTTTCAAGGCAGTTTTTGCCGCGCACCACTACTATGTGGAATCAGCTGCCCACTGAAGTATTTCCGAACCAATTCGACTTAGGGTCCTTCAAGAAAAGAGCGTACCAATTCTTAAAAGGCCGGCAACGCACTCGCGAGCCCTCTGGCATTGAGAGTGTCCATGGGCGGCGGTATCACTTAACATCAGGTGAGCCTCCTGCCCGTTTGCCCCCGTTCTATAAAAAAAAAGAACAATTTTTATTTTTCTATGATGGAGTGCGATAAGAGTCGCCTGATGCAACTTCTGCCTGTTCCCAGAGATATGTATATTTCCATGAGATTTTTTTCATTCTAAGTGACTGCTACTTGGCAGCACTACCAAAAATCTAGTTTTGCGGATTGTTTTTAGTTAAACAAACTTGAAAATACAACAGACATTTCGTATTATAGATCATTAGAACCAGAAAAAATTGGAACGACAATGCACAGTCGGCTACGCGCGGGTGTCGTACATAAGTATTAGGTATTATGACCCAGATTTAGAAACGTTAACGTAAAAATTTTACAATATTGCCTTCAATTATAGCTGTAATTTAATTAATTAAAGTAAGATTCTTGATTGCGGCTTTGTAGTTCGTACATTTTCCGAGTTCGTTCGTTCCTAAAAGTTGCATACGTAATAGGTACTTCTAGCTTTAATATATCTCGGTTCGTAGTGCTAATTGAATATAAAGAGAAACGGTTGTTTGAAACAAATTACAATTAAACAGTATTTAATGGCTCTCTTTGATTTCAAGTTTACGAGAAGGCGCCGTCATCGAGATAAAGCGCAGATTTCTGGCGCAAAATAGTCATTAGCTGTCTAGCTACACATTTCAACAATGCTTGTCTCAGTCGACTTGTTATTATTGAATAGAGTCAACAATATACTTAGATCTACAGCTGTTAATAGCAGTGGTTTATCTGGAGGTGGCTACCTCATTCTTAAAAAGGTGATAAAATCGTCGTAAATTGGTGACGAATAACAACACGCGCATCACCTAACCTTACCTAAATTTCTTATCTCGTTTAAACGTATATTTTCTTCCAATCTGTTAAAAATTTATATTTAAATGTAATCTCAAGACAATAAAGTGAGTGAGTAGGCAACGCACAGCTGGCCTTGGAAAATATATATCGTGACACAGGCAGACTGCATTGAAAAATTCAGCTATGACGAATGCTTTGAAACTTTGTAAAATTACAGAAATTGACTATGAACTAATTCGACTTAGGGTCCTTCAAGAAAAGAACGAACCAATTCTTATAAGGCGGGCAACGCACTTGCGAGCCTTCTGGCAAATGTGAGTGTCCATGGGCGATGGTATCACTTAACATCAGATGAGCCTCCTGCCGTTTTCCTTCTGTATTACATAAAAAAAGCAATTTCTGTACCACAATTATTTAGACTTAGTAAAGTAAGCTACAAGTACCCAATATTGAAGTTCATATTGAACTATTAAAAGACGTATAAAAATACACAAGTGGCGAGGAAGAGGCGCCACCTCACAGTGCCTCCAGGGCCCGATAGACAAGTTTGGGAAACAGTTTCTTCGAGTTCTATAGAAAAACTAGAAACAATATTTTTTAGTTTAATTTAAATACAGTACATGCTATCTACCAAATCGTTAAAATTCAAATAAGTATCCAGTTGATAAGGTTAATTTCTTCCTTTCAGTGACCTCATGTGACACTCAAAAACGACCTCTTCTTTTAATGGTTGAAAACTGTTCTTCAGCAATGTGGTAACAACTGTTATGGTGATCTTTCTCTACCTTTTAAGCCTCACGCCAAGCCTTCTAAAACATAAAATTATGTGGGAAACACGATGTACATCATGTTACGTCATGTTCGAGGTAGGTAGGTATAAATACGATAGTATGTAATTGTGAGCGAGTTGGCCAAATGGCCGTTGAAGCGAGTAACGGGCTCCTAAAGGACGGTACGAAGGTGGTGTGGTGGTGGTGTGGTGGCGGAGGAGGAGGCGGAGGAGGCGGGACGGTCCTTTGCTCCGCTAACCTACATCGAAGCTAATCGTAGCACGTGAAAAAGCTCGCGTGCCGCGGTCGTTCACCCTACGACTCGCGATTCAATCCAGCCTTTCCTGCAATGGCTGTCATTATCGTACTACATTTATTTCACAAGAAATTATAAAAATATTATTTTATACCAGTGGCTTAAGTCTTTCAAAGATCAACGAACAATTAAATATGGCGAAAAACATATCTTTGGACTGCCTTGTGCAATAGTATAATATAGTAAAAACTAAAAAATATTAATGCAATTTAAATGCAAGGTAATTTGATTTTCACAGTTTAATATATGTATAAGATAAGTATGTAGTAAGGTACAACAAGAGTTTTGGTAAGCAATTGCATGACGGGACGGCGTCCTGCGTCGCGGGACTGGTATCGAATTTAATTTTCTAAATTGCTTTCGAATGGTGCCCAGCCTTAAACGTTGTGTCTGAATCGTTTCGTGTTTTATTTACTTTGTTTTGAGGTGGGTTAGATTAAAGGCCGGCAGGCTTTCTTAGGATTTGGAATATAAAGGCACGAACTAGCCTACATTTGCCTACATAATGTGCAGGTCATAAAAAAAAGTAAAATGAATATTTTTACCGTGTCCTATATGAATAATCCCTTGAGTTTCAAGTTGTATGAAAAATGAAAACCAGAAGTTGCAACTAATGTTCAAGTACATAAATATAATGCACGTGATGCATAAAAATTTATTCAGAGAAAGATCCAGCCAAGTTTGGCGGCAATATCTTGTTGTTATTGGGTTTATTAGACCAAAACATCCATTCCACCTGACTGCCACCACTTCTTGACCTAACACCGCAACCCCGATCCCGCTAGGCCTCATTGTACGTCACCGTTAAAAGAATTCGAATCTTCAAACCCTAGACTATATTTCTCCTCCACACGAATTTAGAATTTCTATATGAAACTATTAAAACCTAAATGTATCTATGGTAATGTAGTTTTATAGATAGATGATAGATAAAGTTTGGCACCTTTTGCTTAGTGGTGTCGCCACTGTGTTATACCAGGTGCCCATCGACGTAGGTATTTCCGAACAATTTCTACTGTTTCTACTTAAAAGTACCCCCGAGCCTTCTGTGTCCATATGCGGTTACACTGGTGCTGCCCGGAGGTTCTTTAATAAATTCTACACTTTGGATTCTCATAAAACGCTTTAAAAATTATTTACCTGCCTTCCTCTTAATATGTGAATCAAATCTTGCTTTTTTTATTAAAGAAACCGAGAAGGCTTGGGGCGCAGCAGCTCGATAAGCTCAAACAGTGTCAGTAGCAGCATATAAATAAATGCGAGCCATGCGGCGTCTAATACTATCTGCTTGGTTAATTCCGCTCCAGGAACAGTGCGCTTTTTTACCATTATTCGTGAATTTGTAAGCGTCGACGCAAGAAACGTTTTCCCCAATAAAGGATTGAGTGCACTAACACGATGCATGTGTAAATGAATAACACGCGATATACAGCGCATGCTGAAATAGCGCCGATGTCCGTTACTATTGTTTTATGCCGACACATATCCGTAAGTTAATGCCGCATATTATTCTAATGATTATTCATTACATTTTGGAAAAAAACGGGAATCTGTTTTGCTTTGAAACTTGACGCGTGAAATTTTGACTTGCGGGAAATAGAATAAATACATAAATACCTACGATAAATACTAATACAGTAGGGACTAAAATTTGAAGGTAAATTAATGTGTCGCCCTCCTATGTTCCGCCCCTAAACTAAAATGTTCATAGTTGATAATATTGTAAATTTATACATGTGGTTCGTATTAATTTATGTCATGAGGCCGCAAGACACATACTAAATAAAAACATAGTTTAAGAAACTGTTATAACATAGGAACAATATGAAGTAGTCATAAGAAACTTTAATTTAATATCAGATCCTTTTCTCAGCGCCGTAACGTTCAAATTTAATTATGGATATTGACGTGTAACTAACGATTGGAGCGGGTTTTGGGATTTGATGCAGGGTGTTACAGTTAGATATTAGAACCTGAATAAGAAAAACCAGATGAAACGAATATTTCAAACCAATAGTTTGTACAAGATTTTTCACGAGAGTATCATGCTTAATCTTTAAAGACAACCGATGTGGGCAACCATTGCATTGTGCATTATTCTATTAATATTAAGTCCACAAGACTACATAAACAAACCGCGATACAATAGAAAACGAAGCAGTCTTGATTCTTTACTTTGTAAGCCCTAAGGTCATCCACGTTCGTAAAAATTAGATAATAATATTATGTTTTTATGTTTTATTTTATGTATATTGGCAGTAGATTTCTTCGAAGCGAGTCTAATATAGTATGGTAGAAGTAACTAGTCTATTATATAGTATAGAAGCTTTTATTGCTATTAAAATCATCAATCATTTACAAAAAAATACTTTCAACAAAATATATCTATTAATACAATACAAATATTTTACATAAGGTACAATTTTTTTCTGCAATTATATAAGCCACAATTTACACAAACTTTTTCGAATGAGATCTTGACATTATTTTGTAATCAAGTAAAATTGACGCTAACTGATGAATGAATTATTTCACAATCGTTGTTTGTAATGCTTCCTAGAAAGATATTAGAGAGACTCATGGCCATGTGTAATACCTTTTCAGAATCCCTATTAAATGCGCCAAAACTTGTAATACATGGTCACTTTTCGGTAGAGTATTTATTTTTTCACAGTGGGGTCCGAAGTAAACAAAAAGTTTTGATTTGAAAAAAAATTATATCGTATAACTTAATATTATCTTCAATACACTCAATAAACAACTATAAATAGTATGTCTAACGCAAGAACTCATCAAGTACCAATCTAGTGGATATTATGAAAAAGATACAGGATGTATTTTTTTTCCAATTTTAATAAGAATTAGTGAAAAAAAGTCAATTTTATTATAAAACACAAAATAAATTATAACTCTGCAGGGGTTGAGCTTAGAGACCTCCCGTAGAACAATTTTTGCAGCTGAAGACCTCATTTATCGCCTATTTGCGTTTGATCCACGACTTTTTGGCCACCCTGTATATTCATACTAGCAGACCGGCCAAGCGTTGCTGCGGCTAAGGTTTTTGTTATATTACAGAGTAGCAAACTATTCAAGGGAAACGGTAGGAGAACACCAGTCATGGGGACCACCATGCTTTTTTGGTGGTTATGCCATTAAATTGTAGCTTATGTGAAACGTGGGTACTTTAAACACAGTGCCATCTGTTAGAATTGTGACTATCAAATAATAAAAAAATATTTTGCAATAAAATAATATTGCGGATATAAATTGAGATGTAAGCTATCCTATCTTTTAAGTTAGATCAAACTGCACACGATGTGCAAATTTAATTTAAAATCAGTTAAGTAGTTTAGGAGTCCATCGCGGACAAACAACGTGACACGTGATTAATATATTATATTAAGATAATGTTCGAAGCTACTCTTACTTATAACAGGATTTATATGCTTGTTCTTGTTCTAGGCACGCAGGTAAACTTGTACGGTCTTACTAATAAAGAGTTATGCACATCGTATAAGCCTGTTATAAGAAAAATGTTACTAATAATTCCTGAATTGACAAGTCTAATGTATACGGCTGTTATAACAAGTGTCTGGTTTGTATGAAGACTTGTACAATGCTTATACAACGCAGAGGCCTAGTTTAACGGGTGTATAAGACAAAAATTGCGTCATTTGATCCGATTTCGCGTTTGATAGCAGTTTTTGACTGTTTAGTTCAAGGAAAGATTTAAGTTAGTAGGTATTTGTGTTTGTTGAAAATGAATGTTATAGATCAAATGGAAGATTTAGATAATATCGATATGCAGCTAATATATACGATTGAAGATTTACCGCCTCCAAGGAAAGTCAAAACATACCAAACTCGGTGCAATCCGTTATTACTTTCGGATGGCGATTTCAAAACAAAATACCGCTTTTCAAAGAAGTATGTTATGAAGATCTGTGACATAGTGCGAGCTAATGTCGAAAAGAGTAATAGAGGTGGAGGGTTTTCGATTTAGGTGTCTTCTTCGTGGCTTCTCAGTGTCATTAGAAAATGCCAAATTATATATAGTAGCACTGGCAATCCTACACAATATTGCTATTGATATGAAAGAAGACCTGGATGTTACGTATGATGACACTGAGAATGCTCCAGAAGAACCAAGGCCAACCTAGACTCCCACAAGCAATCAGGCTGGACAAGCTGCTAGAGCTGCTTTTATTGAAACATATTTTTAAGGCTGGTTTATTTACATAGGTGTGGATAGTTAAGGACGTGAAATAAATAAAAAGTTATATTTCATTTAATACAGGGGTTTTATTTTTTTATAAGTAAATTATTAATTTAATTGCAGCTGTAATAATTTGAGCCTTAGAAGATGCTCCTGTCTAGCCCATTCGTGAGCTTCGGCAAGTTGCTTCTGTTTGAGCTCATGTGTTTCAGCCATCTGCCTTAGTTTTGTTTCGTGCTCTTCCAGCAAACACTGGAACACTGCCGTGTTGCGGAGTTTGGCACTTTCCACTATTTGAGCTGCCTAAAAAATTTAAGGAGTTAAAACGATTAAGGAGTTTCCTAAACGTTCCCAGACACATTTCAACTTTAGTAGGGTGACCAAGATATTTTATTGCAAGAATATATATTTATACAATGTCGTATATATTTTTCTAAATAATATTTCATTATTTAGGAAAATGAATGGCTATTCATATTCATTCATTCATAAAAATACAGTCAAAACCGTTTATGACGACATCGTTTAGAACAACATACCGGTTATACTGACCAAAATCAAAGGTCCCGGCTGAATTCTATTGTATTAGGTGCTTAATAACAACGTCATCGGTTGTTACGACTATCGGTTTTTTACGACCAAATATGAGTAGTTGTTTCGTTCGTTTTACCTTTATTAATGGCATGTTAAGTTCAACCTAAGTAAAAACTAGATACTAGATATAACCTATTCCACAAAAATTGTATGGGCGATGCAAGGCATACAAAAAGGAACTATAAAACATCTTCAACAACAAAATAAAAATGAACGATACAAATGAAAAATATGCTTACAAACACAATTAAAATTATTACTAACCTAACCATTTACAATAAAACAAAACACGGAATTTCCAAGCTCTCACGATCACACCGAAATTGTAAACAACATGTTTACAATTTCACCAAAGACCACAATTTGAAACAAAAAAGTCTGTCATCTAATACTATGCAGTATTAAATGCTATGTAGATAGTAATCGGAATAAAACACTTCATATAATACTAGCCGTTTCCCGCCCGCTTTGCTGGGCGAATTAAAATAGGAAATAAATGAAATTTTATGTTTCATTATTATGATTTTTTTCATATTTTATTATTCTTCTTTTTAACTTCCCGCTAAGAAAATTGAAAATTTTCGAAAATCGAGTTTTTAACAGATGTTGACGTTTTGAGGTTCTAGGAAGCCTCCCCGAATGTTTCCGCGGTGAAGTCCGTATGAAAATTTATATTTCATAAAAGTAAAACAGCAATAAAAAAATGAAGGAACGTTGGAATTTAAAAAATAAATAGCCATAAACCATCTAGGTCGCATCGAATAGCAGTAGATTCATGTCGATACGATCAGTGGTGTAGGCGTGAAGGAGCCTCAAACGAAGACCATTTTTCTTATATATACAGTCAAAACCGTTTATAACGACATTGAAGGGACCGTATAGTTGCCGACGTTATATCCGATAGTCGTTATAAGCAATGTCATATACACAAGTACAGTACATATGTATGTACATAGTTATATTATCATAGTTTCTATCTAGAATAGGTAGGTATGGGTTATAATATGGTATGTTAATATTATAATATGTAAAGGAGTCAAATAAGAAACAAAAATATTTATTACGAAATAATTAGGTACAAAAGTAATCAGTCATTTTGGTCTGTTTTTTTTAGCCCAGTCCCAAATATTTTTTGCATTTTATCCAGATGACATGAGATTTTTATTCAATAGAAAACACTTTTCTCTTTTTTTGCGACATGATAACACATAAATGCACAATTGCACAGTCTAAACAACACCAACACTTTTAAAATAATCAAACTGTTACTCACGCAGTCAATTAGCGAACTAAACATGTGTAAAGTATGCAAGGTCAAATGGCCGGGAAGAGGTTCGGATGAGGCGGGAGAAAGTGCGTAGGTAATAATATGGCTATATTCACTCAATGCTTATAAATAAGATTTAAAATCGTTTGTATTGTTTTCTTTTGCTGAGACAAGAAGCGGTTGGTCGTTATAGCCGATGAATATTGATAAAATTTCGTCGTTGTAAGCGATATGTCGCTGTATCCGATGTTGTTATAAGCGGTTTGTTTACTGAATAGTTTACTAGGGATTCGGACGGGACCATACAATCTGGTTGTAATAACCGATAGGTCGTTGTAAACGATGTCGTTATAAACGGTT